GATTTTTGCTCCTTTGCGGTGTTTGTTCTTATTCTTTTGTAAAAAAATATAAGTAAACTAAGTATCTATGAGTCACATCCAAGACTTAACCCACTCAGAACAGGTGCATTGAACATGGTTACTTTTTATTTCAATGGGTGGGTAGGATTAGCACTGGACACTGAGGTCCAGCTCTGAGGGCCTTCTGGTGGTTCCCTCACTGCGAGAAGCCAAGTTACAGGGAACCAGGCAAAGGGCCTTCTCGGTAGTGGCGCCCGCCCTGTGGAACGCCCTCCCATCAGATGTCAAGGAAATAAACAACTATCTGACTTTTAGAAGACATCTGAATGCAGGGAAGTTTTTAATGTTTGATGTTTTATCGCATTATGATGATGATGATGATGATGATGATGATGTTGGGAGCCACCCAGAGTTTCCCCAGCCAGGTGGGCGGGGTATAAATCATCATCATCATCCAATTCACTTTTACAAAGTGTGCCGGCAGCTACCCGCTTGGAGGCTTTAACAAGGGTTCAGACAAACCCACAGTGCCCTCAGGCCCCTGCCATTGACCAAGGGACGATGGCCCCTGGGGGGTTCTACCCTCTGACTCCCAGAAAGAACATGGCAAGGAGGAGACTCAACCTGGTATCACTTTCTCTGCCTTCTTCTTTGCTTTTCCCTGTCATTTGGTTGAAGGGGAAAATAAGCAAAACCAGAGATTTTGAGGGTTTCATTAGATCTGGGGGTATTAAATCAGGTCTGGCTTTAGAAGCCGCCCCTCCACCCTGTCGCCGGACCTGCCAATCACAGATTAATGAACTCCATCATGCCCATTGGTTATTTACATACATGTTGATAGGTTTTAAATGAACTGGAACCACTCAGGAAATAGATTTACATGCTGGTGTGGCCATCAGGATGAAAACATCTGCTCTGTGTGCAGCAACAGTTAGGGAAGAAAGTAAACCAGATGTTGGACTTAATTACAAAAAGCAGAGTGAGAGGGGGGGCATTCTACTGAGAGTTACTGGGGTGGTGAGGGGGTGTTCACAGGATGTACTCCTCTTCGAAATGGCCAGGTCCGATTTCCTGCCAGCGTTAGACATGGTCAGGGAGGTATAAATTCCAGGGGGGGGAGAGAGAGACAACAGGGGGGCGGGGTGCTACATCCTTCTCCTGACCACCACCTCCCCCCTGGAAATCTCACATCTCAATCTATTTTTAATATTTCTTTCCCAGATGGGCTCCCAAACTAGAAGTCTGGGGAGAAGCATCAGTGGCAGTTGTGCAGTGTTCTGGGTGAAAGCGGGTGGCGGGGAGAGGCTGATGTTTCTGCAGCAAGGTTCTTTGCAGAGTCCCCGTCTTCAGTGTCCTAGTCATTAAAAACGACATTAAAATATATATATATCTAAAAGACAATCCTCTTTTTAAAAAGCTAGATGAAAACATTCCACCCACACAATAAGACCAAAGAACTGATGAAAAAGAAGTTTTTGCCTGGCACCTAAAGATGTATAATGATGGCGCCAGGTGAGCCTCTTTGGGGAGAGCATTCCACAAATGGGGGGCCATCACCGAAAAGGTCTGCTCTTGTGTTGCCACCCTCCAGACCTCCATGAAGGGGGTCCATCTACAGATGACAATCACAGGGTCCAGGCTGGTTCGTATGGGGAGAGGCGGCCCTTGAGACATTGGGGTACTGAGCTGCACAAGACTTTATCAGTCAAAACCAGCACTTTGAATTGCATCCAGATGTTCCAAAGTGAAGGAACACTGAAAACACAACGCGCTTCCTTTTCAAGAGAATGATGTGCAACTTCTGCTACATGCAATGGAACTTGATGGAAAAAACAACTTAAGTCACTCCCCACCCAAAATGGAAGCACTCCAAATATTTGCCCACATACGTGCACAGAAAAGAGCAGAGCTAGCTGAAAGGCAACACATGGAGATCTGCACTGATTCTTGCAATGAATCCCTAGTTATTATTATTGTATAATTATAAGATCATTGTATAATCGTGGATGGCTGCATATTTTTAGAGGGGAAGTGGCGGTGACTGTCATGAAGCAATCTTGCACCTCTGAATTTGCAACTACACTGGGGATCAGCGGGGATGATTTGATGGGATAGGATGGCACCCACCGGCATGTGCCCCCCCCCCAAGGTTCCCCACCAAGGAAAGTGGCCCTCACATTGAACAACAGCAGCAAAAGGTTTGCAATATGTCTCTGCGCGATGCCAAAAACGCAGACCCCCAAACACAGGTCTTTCCCCAGAACAGTGAAAGCCTCATTCCTCCCGCGTCTCCCTCCCTCTTTCCTCCTCCTAATTATCCACGAAAGTGCGATTGCTCCCGATGCAGCTGGGATTGTTTTTGCAAGCGCCGGTCTAATCTGCTCGCGACGGCTGTGGAATTCAGTAGCTGCTCCGGCGAAGTGAGAGCCGGCCTGGTCTGCTCTTCCCTCGCAAGGGGCTCCCGCTCACTGTTTGGCAATACAATCTAGTCCGGCTAGAGGTGATTCAGAGGAATTGGAGAGAGAGAGGGGGGGGCCGAGGGATGGGGCAGGGTAGCATATATGGAGCCGGAGCCCAGCTTGGGTACGTTCCCCAGGCTCCGCAGCTCGGGCGCTTCTGGCTCCGGATGAGAAAGGAGATCTTTCTTACAGCGCAGCAATAAAACAGCTCGCACGCTTGCGAAGCTAAGCAGGGTCCGGCATGGTTTCAAATGGGATGGGATACTATGTATCACAGGGGGTTGGACTAGATGACCCTTGGGGTTCCTCCCAGCAATACAATCCTATGAAAAGAACGCTGGAGGTTTCTGAAACTTAGGGGTGGCTAGAAAGAAGCATAAAGCAATGACAAACCTAGAAAGCATCTTAAAAAGCAAAGACATCACCTTGCCAACAAAGGCCCATATAGTTAAAGCTATGGTTTTCCCAGTAGTGATGTATGGAAGTGAGAGCTGGACCATAAAGAAGGCTGATCGCCAAAGAATTGATGCTTTTGAATTATGGTGCTGGAGGAGACTCTTGAGAGTCCCACGGACTGCAAGAAGATCAAACCTCTCCATTCTTAAGGAAATCAGCCCTGAGTGCTCACTGGAAGGACAGATCCTGAAGCTGAGGCTCCAATACTTTGACCACCTCATGAGAAGAGAAGACTCCCTGGAAAAGACCCTGATGTTGGGAAAGATGGAGGGCACAAGGAGAAGGGGACGACAGAGGACGAGATGGTTGGACAGTGTTCTCGAAGCTACCAGCATGAGTCTGACCAAACTGCGGGAGGCAGTGGAAGACAGGAGTGCCTGGCGTGCTCTGGTCCATGGGGTCACGAAGAGTCGGACACGACTAAACGACTAAACAACAACAAAAGCCTCTGTTGCCTTTACACTGTCAGACCATTGGTCCTTCTGCACTGACCTGAAGTGACTCTTCAGGTTTCCGAACGGGGGGCGAGGGAGACCATAAACAGGACAGGAGTACAGCAGTTCTCTAGGACGGAAGATGGGACCTTCTGCACGCCAAACATGTGCTCTGCTAGTGAACCACACTTTGTCTCCGCTCCAAACAGAGTCTTAGGCAAAGGCGGGCCTTCGGTCAATCTGGCTTAGCACTGCCTGCACTGACTGACAGCAGCTCCCCAGGGGCTCAGCCTAGAGCTTTTCCCAGCCTTACTTGAAGATTGAACGTGGGGCCTTTTCTGAAGGTACAGGAGATGCTCTGCTACTGAGCTGTGGTCCTTCTTAATGATAAAAGGCTCCAGACCTCATGGATGTAAAAGAGGAGCTGATTTAAACACGGGAAGCGGCCTTCGTTCCGTTCAGTATTGAACAATGTACGGGGGCGGGGGGGGGACCAACATGCAAAAGTACCCCTACTTTAAACCCCCGCGACAACCATCTTCTTTCTCAAGCCGGGCTGCTGCGCAACGTCTAAATGTCAAGCGAGCATCATTTGTTTCTCTCGCGCTCTCTCAACCCCCTGAATCCTAGCTCAGCACCTGCTCTCCGCTGACCGCTACTCTCGCCCGTCTCTAGTACCAGGCCTTGTGGGACGCCCGGGCTCAGTTTCGGGGCGCAGAGGTCCTCGTCTGCCCCTGCCCGTGGGAGGAGCGTATGGGAGTCCCTGGGAAACTGTAGGAGGGTTTCCATCCTTTATCGAGCCCTCTGTTTTTGCAACCCCCCTGCCCGGCCACACCTCTTCAGCGGTGTGGATTTTTTGACACCGTCCAGTTACCAACCCCACCGCAGTTGCTACTTTCGACAGCGCTGCTGATCCGGAGGAGAAATTTCCCCCCTTAAGGGAATCTCCAACACAGCGCAACTCACCGCCGCCGCCACCCCCTGGTGCAAAATCTCCTCGACCGCCCCAACTAACTTTTCAACCTCAAAATAATCATCTCTCTCCCCTCCCCACCTCAAACAAAAACCTCACTGCCTCACATTTGCACCGCGCGCCACGAAATCCCTGCGCGTGTTTTCACGGGGCCGGGGTAGGGGGTGGAATCTGTGCATTTATTTAGGGGTGGGCTCTTTTTTGAGGGGAGGGGGCGCAGACCTTGCAGACCCATTATCGGTCGCAGCTTTTTCTTTGCAACGGGAGCGGGGGGGGGAGAGAAAGGCTTTTCAAGCCTTTGCAAAGCTGCGTTGGGGAGGGCAGAGACCCTCACCCCCCCAAAAAAAAACCCCGTCTGACCTGCTTTGATTCCTAGCTGCATTTAAAGGAAACCCCCTCCCTCGGCCAAAAAAAGGAAGTCATTGGGGGCGCTTTATTTGGCAGTGCGCGCTGGCCGGCGGGGTCCGTCCCGTCGCAGGAGCGAGGGAAGCCGGAGCGCGCCGGCCGGCCGGCCGTTGGCTCGCCTTTTGTTCTGCCCCCTTTGCTGGGGACTCCCAGGGGAGGGGAGGGGCGGGGCGGGAGGAGGAGGAGGAGGAGGAGGGTTGGGGGGCTCGAAGGCGGCGGCGCTGCTGTTGCTGCTACTGCTGGGGCGCCGCCTGGCAGGCAGGAGAGGCGAGCCGGGCGCCGGGAGAGCCGCCGCGCCAGAGCGCACGCCGGCGAAGAGGCAGGCAGGCAGGCAGGCAGGCAGGCAGGCCGGGTGCCCGTCCGGCAAGATGGCGCAAGGCGGCCCTCGCCGCCGCGCAGGCTCCTCCCGTCCTCGCTGCCGCCGCTACTGCTTCTCCTCGAGGCGAAGGTTGAGGCGTTAGGCTCGGCCTGCCCCACGGACGGACGGACGGATCCCCTCACCCATCGCCGGCCCGGCTCCGAGGGCGCTCGTATTTGGGCCCGGCGGCGGGCGCACGTGCGCACGGCCGCTGCTTTGTGCGGCTCGGTGGGCTCCTCGCCACGCCTGCTTCGCCCGGGAGAGAAGCGAGGCAGCCGCGCCGGACGGGGCTTCGTCGTCGAGAGAAGGGTTCGGGAGAACCCGCCCGCGGGGAAAAGAAAGGACCTCTCCAATCTTCCCGGAGCCAATGGCTCCCCGCGGCTGGCCCTTGCCGCCGCTTTGCTCGCTCGCCTGCCTCCTGGTCGCCGCCGCCCTGGCAGCAGGTAGGACGCGGGGTTCCCTTCGGAGGGGCAGGGGGACGAGGAGGGCACCGATTCTCCAGGAAGGGTAGGGAGCCCCCTCCTCTGACTAGCTGAAATTTCAACTTTTGGGCGTGCGCCCTTTTCAGACTTTGTTTTTCTTCGACGGGGCGGGGGAGCCCTTTTCTCGGGGTGTGTATTATGTGTGTGTGTGGAAATGGCAATCGCACCCCGAAGCTCCGGACTGGGCTGTTGCCGCGCGATCCCCTCCCCGGCTTTTCTCCGGCTGCGTTTGGGTGCGCGTGTGGTTCTCCCCTTCTTTCCTCCCCTTCTCTGGAAAGCACATGGGTCTGTCAACAAGTCCTCTTCCAAGGAGGGAAACGTGCCAAGTCGCAGTAAATAAACCGACGACCGCGATCCGCCTGTTCTCTCCGCCTCCCTCGCCTCCTTCAGAGGCACAACGGAGAGGCTGAGAGAGAGGCGCTTCTGGGCGAAGCACCAGCTCTTGCAGGGAAGGAGCTGCGCTCGCCCTTCTGCCTCGGATAAAGGCTTCTGCACATGATAAAATCACTCTCGCCTTCCTCCGCACCCTCTTTGTTTAAGAGCATCAGGAGCGCTGTGCTTCGGACCAGACCGAAATCGCGCCCTGGTGCTCTGATTCCAGCGCTGCCTAACGAGCGAGAGATGCCTCTGCAAAGCTCAGAAAGGCATCTTTCCCAGCCCAGCGTCTGGGCTCCTGGGGTCTAGTGCCTCTTCACAATGTCTGGTAGCTATTGCCTGACCCGTCTTTGGTGTACTTATTTAATCTCGTTTACCAAAAAAAGATAGTGGTTGTAGTAGCTCAGTACAGTACAGTACAGTGATCATCTGTTTTGCGTGCAGAAGGATCCCAGATTCAAATCCTGGTTACCTCTCCAGGTAGGGCAGGGAGAACCGTTCTCTAGGGTTTCAGCTGGGACGCTGCCAGCCAGTGTAGGCAGTACAGACCCAGGTGGAGCAATGGTCTGACTCGCTGTAAGTTCCCATTCTCTGTTCCTAGGTCCTGTTGGGTCTTATGGTAAGGAGCAGTGTACATTGTTAATGCAGGGTTGAGCCACGGTTTTGCAGTTGCTTCCATTTGTTGTGTGTTAAGAATAGGCCATGTGGAGAGTGAGATTTCTCCCCGTACCAGTGCTGTGGTGAGGCAGGACACCTCTGATTCCCAGAGCCAGGGTGCCTCTGATTGCCACCAGGTCCTGGGGTTCGGCAGTTGGGGGTGGCTCTCTCTGTCTTGCCCCGGTGGGCGTTCCCGACATGTGATCGGCACTGTTGGGGACAGATTAAATGGACATTTGGTATGGTCCAATTTTGGTCAGTCCTTACGATCATGGGCTAGAAGGGGTTTGTGGAGTATGGAGGTTGAGATACCCTTTCAGTATGAAGTAGGGTGCAAGCAGGGGGTGCGTGTCTTCAGTTTGCTGGAGGGCAAGTCCAGAGAACCCGATGGGTATGGATGAGTCAGTGGGTATTGCGAGTCCCACTCTCCCTGCTCCTTTCAAAACACAGAATTGCTGAAATGGTTGTGGGACCCACTCTTGGGTTTCAGGGACAAAGCAGGCGTCAGTGGGGTGTGCTGGCTTTTTCTCCTTCTTACTGTTCTTATCTGGGATGGCAGCATCCCAGTACATATTGGGAGGTATCCATAGGAGTGCAATGGATGGTTAACATTAAAGCATAAAGGAAACTTCAAATGCACCGAGAGCGTTTCCTGAGAAAGGAAAGTGGCTTGAGACAGCAGAACTGGAAGGCGAAGCAAGGTGAACTCTTGAGATTACCCCAGTGTGGACCTTGATAAAGCCTCTTAGCTGGACTTTCAAGCTTGCCATCTAAACAGGGTACTTCTCTCACTCCAGCTAATGTATATGGGTAATAGCAAACGTAGCGAGCTGGGCATGCTTTTGTTTATGTAAATGGTATTGGTCATGAGAACTCCCATGTTCATATGCTGATCTGAACTATTTTTTCTTACGTTTCTTATATCCCACATCTCTCCTCCAAGGCTTGTAAGGTGGTGCACATGTTTCACCCCCCTCTTCTGTTTTATCCTTACAACAATCCTGTGAGTTGGATTTGGCTGAGAAGCAGTGACTGGCCCAAGGTCATGCAGCAAGCTTCATGGCCAAATGCGGGATTTGAACCCTGGTTTCCCAGGCCCTAGACCTGCACTCTTACCACTATGCCAATTGGCCTGCATGGAGAGAGGGGCTGTTGTCTTTGTGTGCTGCTTTGTAGAGGTCTCTGGTTGGTTACTCTTGGAAAGATGCTAGGCTGTGCTGGTCTTTTTCTGGAGTCAGGAAGACCTTTTCTTGGTTGAAGTTGATGTGCTTGAAAAGATGCTGATGAGAAGACTAGGCATCTTGGAGAAGAGCCTCTACTACACATACTAGGACTTTTAAATGTTTTTTTCCTACCAGTTTCCAGAAGGATGTTCACTAACGTGTCTGCAGAAAAGCCACCTTTAAATTCACATTTTAAAAAAACACAGTTGCAAAATGTTCTCCCAAGTGGGCCATGGGGGATAAAAATGCCTCGCCTGCTCAGAGGCACTCTCTCTCTGCCTTGTTCCTTTGCATGCACCAGGGACGGGAAGGAAGATGAAGGCTGCAATTTTGTGCATGCTTACCTGCGATTAAATCCATTGGACTTGGAGGGGCTTTCTTCTGAGCCAAGCAGGCATGGCACGGAGCCACTGATAGAGAAGGCAGCAAAATCACAAGCCGTTACACAAATGTGATTGGGAGAAACAGCATCTTAAAACAGCCGCAAGAGAAGCAGGATGGAAAGTTGGGCATGAGATTAGTGTTCTTTTCCTGATCCTCGAAAGCAGGAGGCTTTATTGCAATGTGTGGTTTTTACCTTTCAAGAAATGCAGGAACTTGTTAGTTAACACCACCCACCGGATTGAAGCAGAACAGCAAAAACATTACAGGGATTTCCCCCTTGGAACTACTGAGCTGAAACCTTTGCCAATGATTGCAAGCATTTGCTCCTCCTGTTTGCCATCATTCTCCACCCCCCCCACTTTTTTTTGCTGCCCAGCCTCCAAATTTATGTGAAATGAATAGCCAGGAGGAAAGGGACATTTAGGTCAGAAACGGGGAAAGTGGGAGGTTGCTGTGTCCCTTCTCCAACCCCACCACACCCCACAACTTCTTTTGGGAACTCATACAGCACAATCGGGATGCGGTTGGTGCTGTGGGTTAAACCACAGAGCCTAGGACTTGCCGATCAGAAGGTCGGCGGTTCGAATCCCCGCAACGGGGTGAGCTCCTGTTGCTCGGTCCCTGCTCCTGCCAACCTAGCAGTTCGAAAGCATGAAGTGCAAGTAGATAAATAGGTACCGCTGTGACGGGAAGGGAAACGGCATTTCCGTGCGCTGCTCTGGTTCGCCAGAAGCAGCTTAGTCATGCTGGCCACATGACCCGGAAGCTGTACGCCGGCTCCCTCGGCCAATAAAGCGAGATGAGCGCTGCAACCCCAGAGTCAGCCACAACTGGACCTAACGGTCAGGGGTCCCTTTACCTTTTCCAGCACAATCATCACATGATCCATTGTTGCTGGTGGCTGTTCATACAGGAGGACAAGGCTACCAGTGGCTACTAGTCACTTTGGCCACTAGCCACAATGGCAATGTTCTTCCTCCACTGCCAGAGGCATTATGCAGGAGATCACAAGTGGGCAGAGTGCCCTTGTGCTCAGGTCCTGCTTGGAGGCTTCCCAGAGGCCTCTGGTCAGCCACTGTGAGAACAAGATGCCGGACTAGATGGGCCACTGGCCTGATCCAGCAGGCTCTTAACTTTCCGAGAGCATGATCTGTGTACATGGCGGACAGTTGTGCACACTGCAGATCAGGGGCAGAGCAGATGCTCAGCATGCGCAAGCTCTGGGTTCACCCTCTGGGATCTGTAGTTAAAAGGGTCACAGCTGCTGCCTGCCGGAGTCTGCAATACTAGCCTAGGTGGGCAAGTTTCCTATGGTCTCCTGTAATGCGTTCCATGGTCGCTGCCTGCAAGCAGCTGACAATCTAAATTCAAACAGTAGTAGTTTGGGGGGAGGGGAATGGGGAAGAGCAGAAGGAAAGGAAGAGGCAAGGGATGGAACAGGAGTGGAGAGCCTTTTCCAGCCTCAGGACCGCATTCTCCCTGAATAGCCTTCCAAGGGCCACATGCCATTGATGGGGAGGTCAAAGTGTGCAGAGCATTGAATGTGAATATTACTACTGTAGAGCAAGCTAGTTCCTACACACAAGGAGCATGATCAGGACAAATTCCAGCCATGCAAAGACTCTGGGGGTGCAGGGCAGGGCCGGGCCAGTGAGGGGTGTGGCCTGGGGAGAGTTCAAAGGGCTAGATAGAGAGGCCCAAAGGAGAGCTGCCTTTGACCTCTGAGCTCCCACTGCTGGTCTCAAAGAGACCAAGAGGGAAAGGAGGGTATTTTGTTCACTGGAGGTGAGATGCCTCTTAGGAACTGAATAATGAGAGGGATGAGGCTGTGGGTTTCAGCAAACGAAGGTCCCTAACACTTGCACCTCCAGCAGTCAAAGGTGAGCAGGGTGTGTATTGTGGCCCTTGTGAAGTACAAAGCGCTGATTAACTAAATGCAATTAGGGAGCTCTGCTTATTAGCACGTGCCTGTCATGATGTCAGGGCGGATAATAGTATGCAATTAAGATGATTGAAATAATGCTGATTCTTTTCTCTCTCCCCCCCACATCTGACAATCTCTTGAAAGCTGAACCCTTCATAAATGCAAACCACCAGGCAGCTAGATGGGTATTAGGAAGAGTAGAAAAACAACAGACAAACAATCCTGATTTTTGCAGGGCATGGTTTTGCCTTCCGATCTTCCTGAAGATTGTATCTCTTGTGGCTTAAAGGAATCAAGGTATCCCTGGAGCTCGCCTCCCAGGCCTCTTTGTATGAAATATTATTAATTTGTTGTGTGAAACTTAAAATACCAATGCCAGTTATACTCAAAGCAGTTAC